AAAATTGCCAACACTGCTCTTCATTTTATATATTATCATTATCTTTTAAAGTAAATTTTACTATTAATAAGATTGTTGAATGAATTTAAAGGTTTTGTAAGATGTTTAAAAATTATATTAAAAAATATATAAATCTCAGAAAAAGGTAAAACTATATCAAAGTTTATAAAAATATGAAATTATATAATTATATCTAAATATTAACAAAAAATTAATAAAATTAGTTTAAATATTTTGTAAATCTAAAATGAATTTATATAAGTAACCTTAGCTTTTAATTATAAAAATCAATATAAAATACTTCTATTAAAATGATAAAAAAAAAATATAATATATTTTTATTTTACTAATTATAATAATATTAATTATTATTTTAAAATAATTTAAAAAAAAATTTTACTTTTAAGTTAAAGTAAAAGCTATTAATTAAAAAATATTAAAATATATATTTATACAGTTAATAAAGTAATTAATTAATAAAAATAAAGTTACATAAATTAGGAAACAGAAATCATTATTAAGTCTAAAAAAATTTACTAATATTTACTTTATCTAGAATTTTGTGTAATTGCAAAAGTCAATCAGCATCAACTCAATTATTGAGCAGGTAGATAGACAGATATATATGTAATCTTAGACTTTATACATATATAGTCCTACACTTCATTTTGGACTAATCACATATATGATGATCTTCTAATATAGAATTTTACAAATTCTGTGAATATTATGAATATAAATAAACTATAAAATTTAGTTGATATCATAAATAATTTTACTTTTATAGCTTAAATAAAATCTAAAATATTTAATAAATTACTATTTTTAATATTCTTATTTTATTATGTATTATTATATTTAAAATATAATAAAAAATAATTAAATAAATATTAAGCAATTCAAATGTAATAATGCATATTATTACTCAGTAAAATTCTATAATATTAATATTATATCATACATATTTTACAGAAATTAAATATTAAAAAAATATCAAATACAATAAAAAATTGAACATAAATCAATAAATTATGATTTTTATTATAAGTTCTATTATCTGAAATTATACTTTAGACTAAAACAGTTACTATTTTTTATTAATATTTTTATATATATTAAATTAATTAATTTATATATAATTAGTTAACTATAATAAAGAAATTTTATATAATAGAAAACTTTTTACTTATATTATAAATTAATTTAAGCATAAATTTCAGTATTATAATAAAAGAATCAACTAAACCTTATAAATTTCTTTATATCTTTATATAATTTAATATAAACTCATACAAAAATTTGTAATTAAGTTTATTATTAAATTTTCTAATTAAAATTCTTATAATTTTATCTTTCAAACCTTTATACTTAACAGATTTATTGATCTAATAATTTAATTTTATAAAATTAAGATCTTAATATTTTAGTTATAGTAATAGTAACTTTAAATAAAGATTTAAAAATATAGTTAATTTAAGTTAAAAAAATCTATAATGATAACATTATCAAAACTAACATAGAACCTTAGTTTACTATTTTTCTTTCTTACTAAAATTACAGGTAAAGTTCAGGATTTTTAGATAGTTGTATCAATTTATTTTTTAGTATTTTATCAATTTCTTCTTTAATAAATTCTTGTTCAGGAAAAGCAACTTGATATGTTCTTTGACATATTAGCTAAAAGCATTTAAATATTTTATTTAATTATATATTATAAAGTAATTTTAAATAATCATTTTTTAAAATTTTATTAATAAAGTTAATATAAAATTTTTTTATTTAAAATATAAGTAAAATTACTTTATTATCTTTTTTAGTATACTATTTACTAATTTTATTAATTTTTCAAATTCAATATATCTCTTATTTTTTTAAAATATTTTCTTTTTAAACTTTTAATATAAGTATAATATATTATTTATACTTTTACACAAATTGATAAAATATTAAATTAAATTGTATTTTGACAGATATAATTATTTTATTAATAATTTATAATAAATATTGAATTGATATAATTAATTTTAATATTATCAAAATTAATTAATACTAAAGTAAATTATTATTACTTTAAAATATATATTTATTTCATTTAATTCATTAAAAAAAAATAAAAGATAATTGTTAAATAATTAAAAATATTTTTACCAATTATTAATTCTTTAATAATACTAATAATTTAACTTTATCTTTATAAAAATAACTTTAAATTATTATTTTAGATAAATTATTTTATAATTAAATTATATAATGTTTATTATATCTTTTATTAACCTTATATCAAATTTATTTAAAAAAATTATTATAAATAATATAAATATAATTTTCTTATTTTTTGACCAAATTTTTTTTTATAATATTAAAAAAATGTTTTTTTTTAATTTACTTTTAATTTATTATGATATAATAACTAGTTGCAATTTTATAATACTTATTTATTATTAGTTACAACTAGTTATAATTCAATTTTTAATAATACTACAACTAGATACAACTATATGATACTTATTTATTACTAATTATAACTAATTTCTATATTATCTCTATTTTAGATATAAGAGATTTCTTTCTAATACAATTATAGTAATTTTTATAAAGTTTATATTTATTAGTCTTACTGTTACTAAAATTTATAAGTTTAATAAATTTTTTAATTAATAAAATTTATCTATTTTTTTTTAAAATTCTAACTAATTTTTAGTATTTTATAAAATTAAAATAATTAATATATTACTTTGAAATATAGCTTTATTAATTTATATCTTCTAAACTAAATCTTTTTAAAAAAATTTTAAATTATTTATAATACTTTAATTTAATATAAATTAATTATTTCATCATATTCAATTTCATAAATTCTTTAATTTTAAATATATAAAAAATTAAATATAATAAAAATTTTTTATTAAAATAAAATGGTTCATAAAATACTAACTTAAGATTTTTGATTATTTAATATACTTTTAACTAATATTTTAAATGATTATTATATAAATACTTTATCAATCTATATACTTGTACATATTTTACTAATTTAGTTGTAGGTGATAATTTTTTTATTTTCTTTTTGTATAATTATAATGAATATACATTTTTTATAATATTATAATATTATATTTTTATAATATGAATAATGCTTCCATTTTTTTTTACTATAATAAATAATTCTTAATAAATAAAATAAAAATTAATAATATAAAATAATATAAAAATTACTTACAATTTAATTTTTTCTGATATTATGTGTTAAGTATTTAAAATCAGAAAAAATTTTATTTACAAACTTTATCTCACGTAAAGTTTTATTACTATTAAGATTACTATTTACTATAATATTTAAAAGCATACACATTTTCTTTAAAATAAGAACTACTATTTTAAGTATTTCAATAAATACTGCATATTCTATTTATTTAGAACTTGTTTCATAATTTTCTTGATGTATTATTATTTTATTTTTATTCTTATTTTTTTAACAAAACTTTTTTTTACAATAAAATATCTAATAACTGGTTTACAACTATAAGGATTTAAATAAAATTTATTAATTTTATTACAAATATTATTAAATATTACTAAATATAAATAAATTATAATTACTTTTAGGAATTCTATGATATATAAATTTTTTGCTAGCTTATAATGCATTATATATATATAATTATAATATATTAAATCTAACTATTAAACAATTTTTTCTTTTTTAACATTATTAATTGATATATATAATACTTTTTGAGTATATTTTAAATAACATTTTTGATATTTTTACCTATTGATTTCTGATATTTATGATAAATAGTTTTAACTAAATAACTTGATAATTCTAATAATTAACATTGTATTTTAAAACATATACTGATTTAATTTACTATATAATATAATAGCAGTAAATACTTTTATATAATTTATATTTGGAGGCTTATTTTGAAAAAATAAAATTTCTCTATATTTTTTGCATTTAATTACTATTTTTAACTAAAAATCTAACTGAAGATATTTTACATTTTTTTTGCAAAATATCATTATTTTCATAAAAACATTATTATGTTAAGATTAAAGATAGAAATAATTTAGTATTACATATAATATTACTGCTAAGATTTTTTTCATTTTTTAATTGTTTAATTTTTCATTAAGTAATTCTTTTTATTTTTATTTTTATCTTGCTTAGAGATAAAGATAATGTTCTTAATTTTTCAAAATTATTTTATATTCATTTTAAATATTTATTAACTTATTTTGAATAGAATGAAATTTAAATATTAGAGTTTAATTTTGTCAAGATATAAGTTTTATTCTGAAGTTAAAAAGACCAGGTTACTTTTAACTTTTTTATTAGGCAATTTTTCTTCTTCACATTTTATATCTAGTTCAAGTACATACTTAAATTTATTCATTTTTCATAATAGCATTAAATGATAAAAATACTTCACTATATAAATGAAAAATAATGCTATAAAAATACATCACATTTTCATAAATATTCAATCTAGGAATACTAGATACTGATATTTTACCCTTAATATCTCTTTGATTTTTAATATATTAGTATAAAAATCTCTATCACTAACAATCAGATTTCCTATAAATATGCTATTATTACTATGATCAATCCATTTAAATTATAAAATTTTATTACTTTTATTAATAGAAAGCTACAAGAAATACATTTTAATCGTTGATATATACTATAATCAGGAATAAGAATGGTCGACTAGATTGATATACAACTGTATCCTTATTAACGAGCATAAAAATAGGAACAATAAAATATTATAATTTGAGAAGGAATCAAGATGTATTTTGGAAAGTGTCGCAACTAGAGTTGATGAAGAGCTTTCTAATTTTCTGGGATATCATTGTAAAGAAACCTTGTTTGGGATTAAATGTAAGTGTTAATAGACTACTTAAACGCGAGCTCACCTTTTTCATATTACCTCTAATGACTGGGGAATATATGAATGGAATTCGAAGAGCATGAAGGAGTTAATCAAATGCTAAATACTTTGATAAGTTCCGTTCTCATTTTGGTAGAGATCTGAAGATGCATTTGACAGAATCCATAATATGAATATTTTCAATCGTGGATAAAGTAGGATAAGCTTTTTACCACCTTGCAAGTTTAAAACAAATCCGTTAAGAATTCGCGAAGTAAAAGTACGAGGATCTCTTCGCACGTTCCAAACAATATCGTTTCCATCAACTCGATATACTGTTACAGTTTGATTGCGGGGATCAATTAAAATACCTTCCTAGATAAAATAACCATAATAATTAATAGCAATAACGAAATAAACATAATCGACAAATAAATAATCATTAGTCACTTACTTTCGAACGTATTTCCGCAACAAAATTTGGGGCAACTGAGGGAAACGCTTC